CCAAGAGTACCAAGTACTAACAATAAGTACCAATTTTATGTTTCCAAGAGACTCTCCAAAAGCTGCTCAACTGTTAATAACAGTTGAACATATTCCAATACTCCATACATGGAATATGGATCCATATGATATGTATTATTTTTTTAAACATTGTTGTAGATGTTTGTGAAGTTAAGTTTCTAAACAACAGATCTATACTTCTGGAATAATTTATGTTAGCGTTGTTAAAGTAGTTTTAATGGTTATATTCCATACACATTAATCTGCAGGTTCAGTTTCGGGTAGGAGACTATGCTGGTCGATAACTTCTACCGAGTTCTACTTTACCGATCGCATAAGGTTTCCCGCCATATTACGTTCGTACAACACACACATAGGTATACAATGAATCAGTGGTTCCCAAACATTTTCATGGTGTGTCTGTCAGTGTAACAGAGCCTTGCTATGATTTCAAAAAGACTTACTCAGTAGTCTTACCACTTCGTATCGCATTGATGACCTAATTGCAAACGCGTATGGACTAATAATGTCATTTCACTTGTGTAAATTATCGTTTTCGCAAATGTCCACGTTGCATCCAGGGCGTTTTATGGCTTCATTATATTGTTAAAACCTTTTTTGAAGTCCCTCTCCTCTATTTCCATATTTTAATCAAACCCAGATGAGAGAAATTACAAAACTCTCTTCTTTTTTACATGTATCCCCGTTTTACGCGTATTAAACTATAAAAGCATGGTACATATAGCTATGATATTACATAGCTTTAAAAAATCTCGTCCAGCCATTAAACTACGCGTTAAAATTTTAATCCAAGGCAAAGGCTTCTGCACCAGGATATTAAGAATCTGAAGGGAAAAAATAAACCTCTATTTTATCTCGTGTTCAGCCAGGAACAAGCTTATCTTGAAGAGAACGTGGGAAGGGAACTCAATTTTACTAAAATCCTCCAACAACATAAATGTGCACCGACAAGCTCAGAACGTTACATTTTTCCCCGCTGCCATGTTGAAGAATATAAACTGTACACGTACCTGCAAGGCGTATCAGACGAGTGCATGTAAATAGAGGGATTGGTCTTGCATTCGATTTACAGGGCCGGAGCAAACACGTGTGGGGCCAGGCCCCTAACTTGTACGGAACGAAAAAAACTTCAGTATAAGTTTGCTCTTCAAAATCGTTTTATTAAGCTTTCAAACTTGGATCAATTCGAGTACAAAAAGTTTAGAGCGTGGTCAGTTCATATTTTAAATTGTTTTAAAAACTGATTCAAGTTTAAGATAATTCAAAGTATGAACAATCAATGTTTGGAAGGTTATAATCTCGGTATGCATTAAACTGAGAATGTTTCAAGTCTAGAAGCTTCAGTACTTGACACTTTTCGATCTTCAACTGTCACAAGCTTGTGGTGTGTCAACGTCGAAAGCTTAATTAGCCCAGGCAGCTTAGTTAGTTCACTTGTAGTTATGAATGCTTCAGACTCGAAGTAAGCTAAGCTTGTTGTATTTCAAGTTCGAAATGCATCAAACGTAAAATACCTCAAACAATACATCAAGCTTTAACGTTTTAGATCTGGAAAGTTTGCAGTTTAAAGTGCTTTAAACTCTCGAAGCTTGGAACACTAAAAGTTCAAAACGCCTTGAGCTGGAAATATTTAAAGCTCGGCACGCTTTGATATTGTTGGGCATCAAACCTGGAACGTTTCCAGCTAGAAGCGCTTCAGACTGTGAACGCTCGAGTTAGTAAAAATTAGTCAAAAGTTAGGAACCTTGAGCTAGAAATACGAGAAGCTCGGAACGCTTAAGATATCCTGCTTCAAGCTAGAATCGTTAAGTGGTCGTAAATTCGATAAATACTCGTACGACGCTGTACACGTATCTCGAAAAAGTTTGCAACGAACGGTTGATTCGGAAATGTGGTAAACTGTAAAGACTCTTGCTCCGGCCCTGTCGATACCCAAAGTAATGGGTCTGGGGCGTTATACATAGGATTTTGTCGTAGTGCCATAACTAGAGATACGATGGAGTACATAGGATGCAAACCCATAAAAACCCCCACCTCCGTTAGCCGGGTGTTCTCGAGGCGTCTTCAGACGGCGTTACCTTTAGCTAGGGCCGAAACGAGCGTAGCCACCTATACCGAAGCAACAGCTTCAACGACGAAAGTGACGTAGATAGGAACGCACACTCGTCGACGCCGACGGCAGCGCCAATAAACAGGGCTCGCGTGCCCGGCTGACTTTCGATTATGTCATAGACTACATATTTCATCGGGACGCGAAGCCCGCGAAAGCCCGAACCTTTCGTTACGTCCGCGCGGTGTTTGCCAAAGAGAGAAAAAGTAAGAGAGCGGAGCAAAAACCGTCTAGAATCGCGCGCATCGGTGTAGAAGGTAACGTTGTCGAAGTAGCCGATATTACCGCCGGGAAGAGTACGGCGCGAGCTCTTAAAGTTGATGCGTAATCAAACTCGTGTATATTGGGGGATACGCGGCTGTTCTTTGGTATTTCTCGCGTGCATGTATGCGAGGACAGAAGAGGAGGCACTGTGCACGGATTAACTGTGACCAGTTGGTGCCACGACACGCAGCCGGGTCGATCGTTGGATCGCATTAAATTTGATCCGACGGACTGTCAGGTACCTGGGCGTTATCTCGTTCGCGGAAAATTCGTTTGCTTGGCCTGGTTGTGCGTCGACCCTGCCAAGTGGTGGTCCCGAGTGAAGGTGTTCGCGTGTGTGCGTGTATCTCCGTTCGTGATGGCGCATGCGTCTTGGTCGTATTACGGTATCCTTCTTTCGGTGTGGCTACATGCGTGCTATGGGACCACGTGACCGGTTTAATCTTCAGCCTGAATAATGCACGGCTCCTTTATCGGAATTTTCTGCTAGACTCGTTAATACAGGTCAGTACCATCGTTTCGTTTTATCATCGATCTGCCCACGCCCCTGCGGACTTTGTGTCTGCCATTGGCATGGGCCAACGCTCGACCTGCCTGTCACGTATCTCGATGCTGCACCGCGAACAAACGCACTTTTCGCATGCAAACTCGCGCCGAACACGGTGCAAACTACCTCGCCTTTGCGAGATACGTGTTCCTATATCGTCCTAACCACTCTCTTGACAGATCGGCTGACAGACGTTGTGTCCTCTTGCAGTAAACCATCTCTAAACCTTTTACGAATCGTTGCTTTTCACAGCTTTCACTGACAAGACGGTATTTATCGGGATGGACCTATTTCATTTCAGTCGATAGAATTTAGAATTACTTTCATAACTGACCGGACAAGTGTGCTTACGTGTTCTCAATTTGATGTGCGTGCGACAAACGCTATATGGCGCCACTAGCCTCGAATTTGAATAAACTTACCGAATGTAATTTTTGTTGTACCTCTTACTCCGTTAAGAAATCATAACCGAATTCTATTTGAACAGAACTTACTTGCACACTTCGTTCGTTACAATCACATACAATTTTATTTCAGTTTATATTACTTCATCGATATCGCATTATTAGCATATTCAGATAAGTAAACGTTTAGGTTAGCTAATGTTCGGTTTTGAAAGATGGCTGACAATCTTAATCGATTTTGTGAGATAATCAGTGTCCGAGTTGGCGTTACGAACGCGAAGTGGGGCGTTGCTGTTTCCGTTCGTTGATCTTTACGTAGTATTAGAGAAGTCGTTCACAGGTTATTAATAGTACACTGGAGTTAATGACATTGATATTGTAACAATCTCGCGTTCACACGGAACAGCTGTGATGATGCCAGTTAGTTAAGCCAAATCCCTGACGATGGCGCGCTTAGATACCCGAACGGATGCGATGGGCACCTTTACGACAGCGTGTAAATCTTTAGCCACTGTTGAAATATTACTTCGTAGCTGCGATTAATTACGAATCGTTCAAAACGTTGCGAATCGTTTAAATCTTCATGAACCGTACATCTTCGCGTTCACGGGTGGCAATGAATTATTCGTTGACAGATGACAAGGAAACCGTTTAAGGAATTTATTCATCAACGAACAATATTTTTGGCAGTAAGAAGCCTTTCCGAGAAATAAACTACTTGATTTTATCTAAACGATTTGTTATCATCTGGCAATCTAACTTCAACCATTTTATGCGCGGTGCTCTTACTGGGACATTATAGAGTTTAGGGAAGGTTTAGGTATAACTGGGACTCAACAATTTTGATGGATCGAGTTTTATTTAAAAAATCGTCATTCTTTGCGTTCTGTTATGCAAAACACTAATTCCAAACCGAAGAGGATAGTACTATAATAAACGTAGCGGAAGTTTAGGATGCACCCATGAAATCTTAGAGATGGGCTATGGAAAGCCCCGAGGGTAGCTAAAAATAGCCTAACCTAACCTGTGCAAACAGTGGATATTTTATTAAGAAAGCTTACGTTGGCCTCGGGTGTGGCAATAAAATTGGATCATAGATTTTCGTTTTTATACCCGGTCAATTATTCCGTTCTATCTGTGTACATAAAACTCGATCGCGAAAATGGCGGGAAGATAACGCAACCTAACCTGCCTGAAAGCGCGGACCGGGGTACCTTTTCAACCAGCATCTTCGTTAAGCTTAATAAGAGGCGAGCAACGTTGGATACGTAGTTTTGCCGTAATATTCATAAGCCTTAGGCTATTACATTTTATGCTTGAACGTCCTTACGTTTGATTTATCATTGTCCACGGTACCTGCAATCACGGTACTCCCCCCTGCTGATCACTTGATTTATCGCAATTGTACAATTAACCACGCATCGCGGTAGATTTATACCTCGAGAGTGTCATATGCACGGTGCACATCCGATGTAGCAGCTGACATTCAGGGTCAGTCGGTACGTAAAATAAAGTCTGTGTAACTTGTTTCTCTTTTCGCTTCACGCCGCTTTCATTTTGTCGTTTCTGCTTTTGCTACGTCCCCAAAATGATCGTGGAGACACTGCTGGTATCGCGGATTGTGTAGGTAATTTGTAGGGAAAATACGAATCTCTTTGATGTCGGTGCCATTTTGTTAACGCACCGCGTGTAAACTGTAATTATAAAGCTGTGAACACGGAACGATTTTACAACAGCAAATATTTGCTCGAAGGAACTTCTGCATCGCTATTTATTCAGTTGAGGGTTGTTTTCTTCATTCAGTAACTTTGATCTCTGATTTGTCTGCTTGTCATTTAATGGTAGTACGTTGAGGAGAAGAAAGGAAATGGAGGGGGCGTTTTTAGTTTTATTTGTTAGCGACACGACAATAAAACCTAGTTTACGCTAGTGGAGTATACTGCGATAGTAGTTTGCCTATACACCCCCTGTACCAGTTTTGTTAGTTTTAGTGCTCTATCAAGTTGTTCGTAGTTTAGACGAGTGCGGTAAGTGGATTGTTTCTACTAGCGCTAGTATACTCTACCGGTACACAAGGTATGCTCTGCCCCTTCCTATACTAATTCAATCTAGGTTATACATATTCTACCTCTATCACTTACTCCACTAATGTAATCTAGGTTATGCTCTATGTAACCGAAGTTATGCTCTGTCGATGCGCTCTACGCTTCGATTCTTTATCAGTAACATGAACGATAAGAAAATAGACATTTTCTGTTAACGGTAGTGTCACTTAGCAATGTTATTTCGGATCTAAATTATATTTTATCGTTTGCTGCATCTGTCTAACCTAAATTCTACTCCATCATTTACTATATCAATGTTATCTAAACTGCACTCTAGAATCTGGCGTACCAGAATAACTTAGGTATATTACATCAATAAGCTATTCAATTTGCATTGGTAGAATAGACGATAGAGCACTTATAATTTTTGTACACACCTTTGCGCTTCGTTTTGAAGTCGAGCGCTTCGACTTTGATTATCATACTTTCGTAAATTCAGTAGCTTCAATATTCCACATTTATAATATCAAGATATTACAAATTATAACTGTCTGAAGCACTATCGCAATATTCATTTTACTACATCACTATTTCAAATGTGAGTTAAAAAATTGGTAACGATAATGTCTTTAAGTTTCAAAATTAATACCGTGATTCAGAAGGTAGAGAGTTAAAAACAGACGCGTCATTGAGCTAACGATGTTTGGTGAAAGACCTTAATCGAACGGGAGGCTTTGTTCGTGCGAAGCTGACGTGATGGAAATTCCAAATTGTATTCTTCTTTATTTTACTTTTCTTTGTCTTCTTTTTCATTCTTCTCTTCCTTTGTAGACCGTGCACTGAAAATATAAAAAAAGATAATTTTAACACCAATTAAATTGCAACAATTACATTCTATTAATTATAGTAGACAAGTTCGTATTCACTGTCTCTTTAGTAACAGTTCCTACATTAATTTATTCACACAATAACCATTGCCTTAATCATATAAAAAATCTTCTAATTAGCCATTATAATATCAAGTCTCGTTTTGTTCTGAATATGAATAGAGTCATAATTTACGGTGCACTTGCAAAACAATGTCAGTCATTTGCGTTCGTAACGAAAGTTGTAACTCATTCTTACCTCGTAACAAATATTCTCGTCAATCGTTCCGCGTACAAATGGATCCGATCAAGTAGGTGCCAAGTGCGTTAGTGTCTGCAAACGAACGATTAAAATATAAAACATGGAGGGTGAAATATCGAGCGGTGTTCTCTTCTAGTTGGCGTAGTTGAAGTACACTGACCGAAACACGGCGTTGAGAGGCAAGTTTTGATAGCCGGACAGTTTTAGTCGGTACAGTGTCCTCGCTGCATAATCCAGGGAAAACCGCAGGCGCTGGGCTCGCACGAAATATTTTGCGAGCATGAATAAACCCGAGCCGCCGCTCCGCAGTTTTGCCGCAGTGGCCGGGTCTCCGCTTCCATTCCGTTGCGCTTTCATGTGCTTTCTTCCTTCATACGAATCCTTTCTTCTTTCGGGTGTCATCATTTATGAAATACCTGCATTTAGCGAAGGGGTTGAAATGTTACTCATGTGTCATTTTAGATGTCTCCATATTTTTTTTATTTATTGTAAAGTTACTACAGTTAAAGTTCTATTCTCTTTATTCTCTTTACCAATTATTTTAAATTACGCTGACTTTCATTGTAAGGCTCTGTATAGAAAAATCATGTAACAACTTACCAAAGTGTTGTAGTTTGTTCGTTGTATCGGCTTCATAAAAAATTTTGTTGAAGATCATGGCAATTTTTCTTTACGTTAAACTGTTTGAGAGGCACCCTTCGTCTTTAAGGGTAGAATATCGTAACATCTTCGAACCTTGCTTGTCGCATATTCCCGAGATTGAGTAAAGTAAAGATTGACTCTACCCCTCTGTGTCCACCATTCTACCCCCACTTCTTTTTCTTCCAACCATTCGATGCCCTCTTTTTCTTTTCTCTTCGCCATCCCTTCTTTACCGTTATCTTTTATGATTCTGCCAATCAGCTCTCACTTTTGCCTAACCATTATAACCTTCGACCTTCGCATCTTTCTTATGTTTATACTTCAATTCTTTTTTCTTCCATGTTTTTGTTCGGTTAACTGTTATTATATCATGCATGGAGACAATATTGTACAGTCAGCATTAAAATTATTCACTTTGAACAAACAGCATTGAAAATATTAATCTTGAACATTAAATATTAACACTGAACTATCAACATTAATAATATTGAACGATCAACATCATTGGCATTGAATAAAGAACATTAAAGATATGTACATAGAACAATGATCCAACATGAAATTATGGATAAAGAAAAATTAACCTCAACTTTGTTTTCTATAATTCTTACATCCACCTTAAAAAACGCGAACGTCAGTTTATTTAAATTTAAGATAACTACATCAGAGCGAAGACTGAAATTTTCTCATAAACCTAATCTAAATTCCAACGAGAGTACAGTACCTGGAAGCTGCTGTAAACGAACGGGAATATGAAAAAGTTAGTAAGAAAAAAATGGCGCACCGTCGTGCCAGGTTACCTTCTTGGTTGAGGAACGGTTCGTTCGAAGCAAAAGAACAGACAAGCCCTTTTTTTGCAGTCGAGTTAACCATCGGAGAATACCGTTTGTCTTCTGTCGAATACCGCTAGACCGCCATTCTGTTAGAAACGAGATCATGGTCATCCTTCGCGAAACTATCTTCCAGAACGGCAGTATGACCGAGAAGGCCATATTTCTTCTTCAACGTTGACGACTTTTAAACGGACCTCGAACCGTGGATATTTATTGTGGATACTGTTAACGTTTATTCAAAAATTTACTTACCTTGAAGAGACCTCGGATCCTTCAACGATCAATATATTTTATACTGCAAATGTCGATGCAATATTATCACTGTTGCAATGTCGATAAATATTGAGGAAGTGTAGTATTGAAAATATATATTTATCTGAGGTCTACGTTCTGGAGAAACCCAAAATAAAAATCTTCCAAATTCCCAGACTTAAATTAAATTAAATAATAAGACTTAATTTTAAATTAAATATAAAAGTTCGCGCATTTGAAAATTTCCATATTTCTAAATCTGAATATTCACCACCCGAACGCCATCGAGCGATGAAACTTCTCCCATATCGCCATTTTCTTGGAGAATTGTGCAGTGCTGGCAGTGCACGTGCAATCGTAAGATACCAGAAATTATTACGAAATTATTTACCTTGATATGCGTAGTAGTTTGTGCTTGCTCTTCGCCTTAAGAGAAGCTTCAGCCCGTGTCTTCATATTCTTCTTGAATTCATAAATGATTCTTTCGTTTCGCAGTCTGAAGATGTATTTGTGCGTACATGTACAAATGCTCCTGCAGAATTATTTCATATATCAGATAATTGGCTCATTTCCTTGGTTGCCTTCGAGGGGTTGGAAACAATATGTTGTTCGACGATCTACACACAACAAGAGGCCTCATCAGTACACATAAAATACGTTCAAGAGCTATAATGTCTGCATAATAAAACCACGAGTAATATTTCATTAAAAGGATCACTTTACTGAGGATTAAGTCAAAATTATATTTGAGTATGTATGGAATAACTCATTATAGTTGATTATAAGACAGTATGATTAATTACATTATTCACTGTAATTACGTTCTTCATTAAAGACTCACTATATTATTCATTATTCTACAAATAAATCTTGCTCCACTTTTTCAACACATAATTGCACAATGAATTTTAGAAGTGACTTTATTTTATAGTAGCTTCAAGCGAAGTTGTAAAATTTCTTGTAAGTTATAAATTGTTACATTGCTTCTTTTCCTGAAGAATTAACTATTATAAAATGAAATCCTTACATATCTATTTTAACAAAACCTCGAGCTTCAAATTTTGCCATAATTTAATCAGATCGTTTCAGACCTTTTCAAATGAAGTCATCGAGCAGTAATTAATCATCGGATATTTTATTCGAAGATCAGTGAAGAATTTGCATGGGTTCATTAAAACTTGAATACGCAGAAAATTGAGTAAAAATAAGAGGCGCATTAGAGGCTGGAGAGAAACGCGTTGGTTTCGAGATCTTTGACCCTCTAGCAAATGGGTGTTCAGAGGTTATTTATTACGGCTTTTATCGAGCCGTGGCAGCAACTTTGTTTCGCGAAAACTGTCGTGTCGCAGAGACAACCGGCCGAGCAGAGGATGACTGGAGGATCCGTGTACGTAAATTGAAGTCGTGTTTGAACCGAGAAAGCGTCTAGGATTTCTCAATTAACCGTCTGGACTGGTTGGCTCTCGCAATAAGCGAGAGTCCGCTTGAAAATGCACCGAGGATATCATCGTAAACAGGATTCTTTACGCTCGTTCAGGACCGATCGTTGTGATAGTCGGGAAGTTTATGCTTTCATGGAAAGAGGTTCGGTCCAGCTGTTGACCACAATTTTCACCCGAAGCCTCCCCTCATTATTTTTGGAAAATGTCCAATTTGCTGCAATGTTGCGAAACGACGCCCACGAATTGACGATGTCTTCCAGTCGTATCTCGAATAAGTTTCGCCCCCCGCTTCTTCCACCATTTTATTCCTTCACCTTTCACGGAATTCTCGGAATGTTCGGTGAAGTTCGAGCTTCCATATTCGAACGTCCAATGTCGTAACTTTACTACGCTAATTAAGACTTCTGTTACCTTCCGTATTTTTTATTTCGTGTATCGCCATTTTAAGTGGGAAGGTTTACTATCGGCGAGAGTATATTTCTTCTTTGCGTCGGAATTTTGATCGGAGGAAAGATCGGTTCACTTTATTCGTTTACCTTCTTCGGTTCTCCGAATATTCTTCGAAGACTCTTAGTATCTGAGAATTGTAACGATGCTGGAATTTCATTTTATTAACTGATTATTACGTATTTTTGCAAACTCGGTGTATAATTATTATCGACAGATTTTTCTGACAGAGAGGTTGTATTTAAAGATTAGAAATTTTTACTAAAATTTCTTCGTACATCTTTTTCGATGTTTACTTTTCTGTCTCTTCAAAGAACCTTATTCGTTCGTATCATAATTTTTCCGAGAAAAGCAAAAAGCGTCAGGCAAGTTTTCTCATCAGGAAGTGGAAATTTTATTCGTGGGAGGCAAACGTAAACCGCGTTACACTGTCAACGAGAAGATTGGCCACGTAAAACCGTGGACGGTAACAAGAGTATCGTAGGGGGTTGATATCTGCCAGGATTCGTCAACGAATTTCCAGAGAAACGTTGTCCAACGAATGTACGCGAAACACTCGGCTGCTTTACAGTACATAGGGCCATGTAGCGAAGGGTTTAGGGACGTATATACATATATAACGTGAGTCTATCTCGGTGGTCGACGCTGTAGAAGTCTCATTAGACCGAAGTCCCGTGGAACGAGGCAAGGAAACTCGAAGCGGCACGGATATATTCGGTGGAGGACATGAAAACTTGGAGATTGTGAAAACGTTGGAATTTCACCGATCTCGCCGGGGGTAACGAACACGCGGCGAAGGAGAAACGAATCTCGTAGACGGCGGAACGAAAAGGAACAGATAAAAAGGGTGGAAGAAGATAAGTCCGAGAGAAGATTCCTTAACTTCCCTTGGACTTGCATACTTTACGCTATCTCGAAACGTTCTACATTTCTAGCGCGTTGCGTTGCAATGAGTCAATTATTTCTTGGTAGAATAATGAAGCTAAAAGGTTTTGCTACGATTACGAAGTATTAGAAAGGTTCAGTGAACTTTCTGACTCTTGCGTACACTTCAAATATTGGACAGATGTTGATTCATAAATGTTACATAGCTGTATCAGTTTGAGATATTTTTAAAAATTTAGAATACAAAATGGTATTGAAATGATACAAAATTTAGAGTTTCCTGTGTGTAAATGGTCGATCGGAAGTCGATAAAAATGAAAATAAAAATGACAGGTTTGAATTTATGTTAAAGGTAATGGGAAGTAATGCTGTATTAGCTTTGCGGTTGGAAGCTGACTCACTCTGACCATTCGGTTTACAGCACTTTAAAATGGGTATCTTGAACTAAATCTATAGTGTCATACACGTGATGTGTAAATACGGCAGCTACAGTGAGAACTAGCCTTTGTGGTCATGCTGTAATACAGATTATTAAAGACAGTATCTTTCAATGTTATCTAATTTGTCAGTGTACATCGCTGCCTCAACATTGAGAACCCTCGAAAGTTTCTTTCGTTCGATTTTTCTATAAATAAATATTAACTGAATTCGAAACACCGGTCACGTATAACCACCATGGTGGTCAACGCGTTAGCAATACAGAAATAAGTTGGAAAGTATTCGTTAAGAAAAAAGTTAGAGTACTCGCAAGGGCAGAAATGGTTCGGAAGGAGTTAATTGTGCATTTAAGCTTGATAAAATTGAGCAGTAAGAGGGAGTTGGAATTTTGGGTCCATTTCGGAAGGGGTCGTCTCGCGAGCGTATCGCGATGGTCACGTGAATAAAATTGGGGATTCGATGGGCAGAAGTGCAGAGCCGCAAACTGCATCGTATAGAAGGAGAAGAAGGTTGTCTAGAGTCTAGACAGTGATCAACGTAGGACTGTAAAAGTTTAGCAAGGCACGTGATCCGGTATCGACGACGAGTCTCCTTGCTTCGGTCCATACATATGCATTACACCGTGGCGCTAGCCGAGAAAGCCAGTCGTGTAATATATTTAACAATGTCTCGCGATATGAGACGTTTTTACGGAAAGTCGTTGGCATACGAATGGCTTCGTTGGATTTGCTAGCAGAGGCGGACACATCGGAAATGAGTTTTGTTCCTTCGGTTACCTAAACTTTTGGCTTACGCCCGGCGTCCGCTTCGATTGGTTTGCACGCGCGAGCGCAACCGAGACAGCACAAAAACTAACGTTGGCTGCCGTTGCATGAAATTCGAACTTTTATAACCGGTTCAGAAGTCCGGTCATTCCGTCGGATTCAGCTACGACACGACGTCGTCCAATTTAATTCCGCCCGCGGAACGAAAACTTCGGACCAGCGAATATTACCCCCCTTCCACCCCATGCCCCATCCCTGAATGCCCGAATTTCGTCGGCGAAATTCGACCGTGTTCCATCGAAAAATTTCGAATGCCGCGTATTATACCG